GTCATATTTTGTTCCCTCATTTCTTAGTACTTTTAAGATATTTAATATGCATTTTATATCTAAATAATCACATTTTGTTCTATTTAGCATTTTAGGCTTTTGTTTACATTTTATACATAAAATGCATAGTTTTGAGCATATTTATATTCTACAAATATTTTGGAAGTATTATTTATTACCTTGATACAAATTTTTAAGATATGGAGTACAAAAAGATGAAGAAATGTCAAAGTTGGATGCATATTTACACAAAGTTATTGGGCCAAGTTAATTTGACCCACATGATCAAGTCACAATTGAAGCAAAGGAAAACAAAAGTTAATAGAGAAAAAAATAAGATAAGCCGTGTTCCTTCCACGCGCACGAAGCGGAAGAAATAAACGGAGAGCAGCGGAAGAAGTGCAAAGAGGTGGATTGCACAGAGTCTTCTTCTCCAATTCAATATCTTCAAAATTCAACTATAAAAAGAGGAGATAGAGATGAGATTGAAGGGGGGAGATACGGAGAACGGAGAGAGAGGGACACAGAGGAGATCGGAGCAGGCGGCAACAGAGCCGGCCTAGGGTTCCGACCCTAGGTCCGGCAATGACAATTCCGGTAGTCCGACGGCAACCATTCCGACAGCAGCCATGGATTCCGACGACGGCGATGACTGGCGGCTCAAGATCGGCATCTGGTCCCGGCTTCTGTGCATCGTGCGAAGAAGACACTTCCAGGGAACATTTCTTTTACTTTTAAATTTTATTTTCTTTGAATTAGGATTTTGAATTTGTTTAATTTCAAAATTGATGAATTCGATATCCATATTAAATACAGAGTATATTTTATTTTCAAATCTTATTTTTGTGTTGAATGTTTAAGTTATATTATAAGTGTTGCATTGTTTGAGGGTTGATGTTAATTGTTTAAGTTATGATTTATTGTTTGATTATTGTCTCTGAAGTTATAAAACCTTCTTAGGCCGAATTGTTTGATAAAAGAGATTGAATCTTTGATTTGGCTGTTTTTATTGAATCTATTTGACTTTGAAGAGGTTTTAGCTCTATGCTACTGTTAAATCTAAACTCAAAGAGGTGTTCTGAGAACTATTATTCACCAGATTTTACTTAAATTGGACCAAATTAGGATCGCGGCCTAATCCAGTTTAAAATGATATTCTTTTAAAGTCCAAAGTGCTTTTAATAGCTGAACTTTTCTAGAAACCAAGTGTCACTCGATTAGTACTTGCTGCCTTGTTAAGTGGTTTTTGCTATTCAAGATTCTCGAACTGATTTTGTTAAATAACCGTAGTGTTACTGCAAGATTGTTATGGTGATGTTTTCCAAAGATTTTAATGCGCTATTCTTAGTAGTAACTTAAGGGTTGGTCTTTGGGTTGCTAAGGATAGTAGGGTTTAGAGTTAGGGTTGGTCTTAACATGAGCTAATATGAATGAGAAAACAGGGAAGAGCCGTTGGTGGACCTTTTCTTCAGCCTAACCCTGAGTTTAATTAGCAGTTTAATTTCAGAATCAAGGCATAATTAATTGATTAATCAGATTTGTTCAGTTTATTTTCTATTAAAAACTATAAGTATTTTCAAAATGGTTTAAGTTAATTATTACTGTCTACGTTTTTATAAAGTTTAAATGTGTGTTTGTTTCTCCCTAAATGTCTTCTGAATTCGAGTTCCTGCTGTGGTTCCATCTCTAGACTGTTATCCTTATCTTTATTTTATTTGCATTTTTGTTTCTTTTTAGAATTATCATTCAAACCCCCCCATATCCTTTAGTTTTAGGTTTTAGATTTTAGTTAGTAGTTTTTATTCCATAAAAGTGACAAAGTAAATTGATTTTCATAGCCTAAAAAGTATCTTTCCTCGTGGGATCGACCCTTACTTGCCCTATCTATATGTTTTAATGAATATTGAATCATATAGAGGGTTAAGAGTTAAGGAAAATAATAAATTAATTTGTAGGTGCTACGACACGCCTATCATGTATGCGTCCTCCCTCGTGCTAGGGACTAAGACCTCGGTAGGTACCTTTGCCTCGAAGCCATAAGTTAAGGCAAAGGGAGTCTCTCCTGTGGCCCTTCTCGAAGTAGTTCTATGGGCCCATAACACATATATAGGACAGCTCTTCTACCTAGGAGGTGCCTAACTCGTGCAGTCTCTTCTTAATACCGTCCACAATCATCCCGTTGGCATTCTCCACTTGCCCGTTGCATTGCGGATAGGCAACGGCTACTCGACTGAGTTTAATTTTCCATGCATCACAGAATTCCTTGAAACTTGTGTTGGCAAATTGAGTGCCATTGTCCGTTATGATTTGCTCAGGAACACCGAATCTGCACAGCAAATTTCTTCACAAGGGCCTCCGCTTCGACAATTTTCCTTCGTGATCTTCACAAGGGCCTCCGCTTCGACCCACTTGGTAAAATAATCTATTGCCACAATGACAAATTTCATCTTCCAGCCCCTTGGACGAAAGGACCCACCAAATCCAATGTTAAATATAATATTTATTATATTTAATTATATGTATATATTAATTATTATTTACTCTAGAATTCTCTAGAGAGACTCTTGGCCTAACCTTTACACATGTATAAATACTCTTGTATGCACATACCAAATGTAAAATAATAAAAATATTTCTATTTCTCAATACATTTGGTATGTGCATACAAGAGTATTTATACATGTGTAAAGGTTAGGCCAAGAGTCTCTCTAGAGAATTCTAGAGTAAATAATAATTAATATATACATATAATTAAATATAATAAATAACATGCTCCCAGCTATCTAGGTGGCACTGAGCAGACTCCAAGATTGTCTCTGAAATCAAGAAATAGCAGAGATGGTAATCCCTTTGTGAAAATGTCTGCATTTTGTGAGGATGATGGAACATGTAAAACCTCACCCCTTCCCCTCTTGCGTCCGTTCCCTCGGAATACACCCAACCTTCCCCCTCACTCACAATCCAAACTCCATCCCTCTCTTCGGGCACCCACACCGAATCTAATCCAAGCTCATTGTCCACAACCCAACAACCACATCCCTCTCTCAACACCCACCACATGGTTACACGCTCCAAAGCGGGCATCACCCGTCCAAAAACCATTCTCAATATCAATACAACCGCCACTAACCCCATTTCCCCCCTACCCCCCACTTATCGCAATGCACTAAAAAATCCTAACTGGTATGATGCTATATGTGATGAATACAATGCTTTAATTAAAAATAATACATGGGAACTAGTACCTCCTTCCCCTAATCAAAATGTCATCACCGGAAAATGGCTTTTTCGTCATAAATTTGGTCCCACAGGTGATCTATCCAGGTACAAGACTCGGTGGGTGGTCCGTGGCTTCAATCAGCGTTATGGTGTTGACTATGCAGAGACTTTTAGCCCGGTGGTAAAACCTGCGACTATTCGTATAGTGCTCAGCTTGGCATTGTCCCGCGGATGGCCAATTCATCAGTTTGATGTCAAGAACGCTTTCCTTCATGGAAACTTAGAGGAAACCGTCTATGCCACTCAACCATCTGGGTTTCAGGATCCCTCTCGACCGCATTATGTGTGCAAACTCAAGAAAGCACTTTATGGATTAAAGCAAGCACCCAGGTCATGGTATCATCGGTTTGCCACCTTCATTCAATCGCTCGGTTTCCGAGGGTGTAAAACTGACACCTCACTATTTGTCTACACTCGTGAGAGGGACACAGCTTATCTTCTTCTTTATGTCGACGACATTGTTCTCATAGCTTCCTCTACCTTGCTACTTCATCGCATCACACAGCAACTCAAGGGGGAATTTGCCATGACGGACATGGGGGATATTCATTTTTTCCTTGGCATAAATGTTCAACGGACAAAACACGGTCTTTTTCTCCATCAAACTCAATTCACACATGAGATCCTAGAGCGTGCTGGGATGCAAACATGCAAACCCATATCCACACCCGTTGACGCAAAAGGTAAGCTAGGGGCGGCCAGCGGCCCTCCAGTTGAGGACCCGGCCCTGTATCGCTCAATTGTTGGTGCTCTTCAGTATCTTACCTTTACTCGACCGGACATCACTTATGCCGTCCAGCAACTCTGTCTTCATCTTCATGACCCTCGGGTTCCCCATCTAACAGCCATGAAGCAGATCCTCAGATATTTGCATGGCACAGCCACATACGGCATCACACTTACCCGTTCTTCAACAGATGCTTTGCAGGCCTATTCAAACGCAGACTGGGCTGGATGTCCAGACACTCGCCGCTCTACATCTGGCTACTGTGTATTCTTGGGTGATAATCTAGTTTCATGGTCCTCCAAACAATAAGCTACCACTTCTCGTTCTAGCGCAGAGGCTGAATATCGGGCAGTGGCAAACGCTGTAGCTGAGACTAGTTGGATAAGAAATTTGCTACTGGAACTTCACCAACCATTACGTCGTGCCACCTTAGTCTTCTGTGATAATGTGAGTGCAGTTTATCTTTCCTCTAACCCTGTTCAGCATCAAAGAACCAAACATGTGGAGGTAGACATCCACTTTGTCCGAGACTAGGTCGCCTTGGGTCAGGTTCGAGTTCTACATGTTCCATCATCCTCACAGTATGCAGACATTTTCACAAAGGGATTACCATCTCTGCTATTTCTTGATTTCAGAGACAATCTTGGAGTCTGCTCAGTGCCACCTAGATAGCTGGGAGCATGTTAAATATAATATTTATTATATTTAATTATATGTATATATTAATTATTATTTACTCTAGAATTCTCTAGAGAGACTCTTGGCCTAACCTTTACACATGTATAAATACTCTTGTATGCACATACCAAATGTATTGAGAAATAGAAATATTTTTATTATTTTACATCCAACCCCCATCTAGCAAAAGGGATGGCCGTAGTGACAGGGGTGTAAAAGGTGGATGGGCGTCCAGGGATTGGTGCAAATGCTTGGCAGGTTGGGCATTTCCTTACCAATTCCAGTGAATCCTTCTTCAAAGTGGGCCAATAAAACCCCTGGAGTATCACCTTTCTTGCTAGAGTGAGTGCACCTTGATGGGCAGAACAAACTCTTTGGTGCACCTCTTCTAGTATTCTTCCTGCTTCTCTTTCACTCAAACATTTGAGCATCGGTCCACCTAAGGTCCTTTTTATACAACTTCCCTCCATCTAATTGATACTTGGGAGCCATCAATTGGACTCTACGGGCCTCCTTGGGGTCAACAGGGAGCTCTCCCTTTTCAAGGTATGTGGACAGGGGGCTCATCCATGTTGTACCTAGACCGGATATCTCAAGGACAGGGACCGCCTCTTCCCAAACAGGACAAGTCTTCTCGTGCTGCCTCACCATGCTTTCCATGTGGACGGGGACGGTCTTACACAATTTGGGAAGCATGCCCGCTTCTTCATTTTCCTCCCTTGAAACATATATGAGTTCATAATACTCAAATTTTCCAAGTAGGGTTCTGGCGTAGTCTCTGTACCTCTTCAACCTTCCTTCCTTGGCCTCCATTTCTCCCTTTAGCTGCCCAATGGCCAGTTTTGAATCAGATTTGAAGCGAATGTGCTTTATCTTCATGAATAGGGCAATCTTGATTCCCCCAATGAGGGCTTCATATTCTGCTTCGTTATTGGTGGTCCGAAATGTGAACTTAAAGGAGTGATAGGCCTTGAAACCTTCAGGGGAGGTGAGGACCGCTCCTCCCCCTGAACCATCCTTAGTGCAGGATCCATCTGAATGTATCTCCCATATCTCCATTTTTCTTTCCTGGCCGGTCCCATCCTCTTCTGGCTTCCCTCTTGCTGTACACTCCACCATAAAATCTGCAATGACTTGGCCCTTCTTGCTGGAACGGGGCTGGTAAGAAATATCATATTGAGAGAGGACCATGGCCCACTTGATGACCCTTCCCGAGGAAGATGGGTCCCTCAAAACTGCTCCCAAAGGTTGGTCCGTCATGATTCTCACTGGGTGAGCTTGGAAATAAGGAGTTAACCTTTTCACAGTCACCACCACCGCCAAGACACACTTCTCCAAGGGAGTGTACCTTGTTTCCGGTCCTCTCAAGGCCCTGCTGGTGTAATAAACTGGCTTTTGGGTCCCTTCCTCTTCCCTCAAGAGGATCAAACTCACAGCTAAGTGGGCCACTCCTAAATAGAGGAAGAGGATGTCTCCCGCCAGTGGCTTGGAGAGGACCGGTGGAGAGCTCAAATATGCTTTCAAGTGTTCAAAGGCTTCCTGGCATTCTGCGGTCCACTGGAAATTTCCCCCTCCATTAAAATTGTAAAAAAGGGCAGGGACCGCTCCGCGGACCGCGCCAAGAATCTCCCCAGGGCCGCTATCCTTCCTACTAATCTCTGGACCTCCCTTAAATTTGTTGGCGGCTCCATGTCTTGGATGGCCTTCAACTTGTCCGGATTGACTTCAATTCCTTTCTTGCTTACCATGTACCCAAGGAATTTTCCTCCCTGGACCCCAAAGGCACATTTTTTGGGGTTCAACCTCAAATTATGCTTCCTCACTGAAACATTTTTCCAAGTGTTGAGGATGGTCCGCTGCCTGCTTACTTTTTATCAACAAGTCATCCACATAAGCCTCCATGATCTGTCCCAAGACCTGCTTGAATAGTAAGGAGATCATTCTTGTAAATGTGGCCCTCGCGTTATGCAGTCCAAAGGGCATGACCACGTAACAATATACTCCTTCAGGCGTGATAAAGGCTGTGGATTCCGCATCCTCGCTGTGCATGAAAATTTGATGATATCCTCGGAAGGTGTCCATGAAACTCAATAGTTCATGGCCCGCCGTTTCATCTACTAATTGATCCACTCTTGGTAGTGGAAAGGGGTCCATAGAACATGCCTTAGGCTCCGTTCCGTTCAACTTATTTTTTGTGATCTAATCTGATTCTAATAAGTTCTGATCTGATCTGATCTGATCTGATTGGATCTGATCTGATCTGATCTGATTGGATCTGATCTGATCTGATTGGATCTGATCTGACCGGATCTGATCTGATCAGATTAGATCTGATCTGATCTGATTGGATCTGATCTGGTCTGATCTGATCTGATTAATTATGATTTAATTTAAAATGTAAAATCGATATTTTAATTTGACTTCATAATAATGTTTGAAAATTGTAATGATAATTCATATTATAATATAATCAATATTTTTTATTTAATGATTAGTTTTTAATAAAATAAAAATAGTTAATTCATATATTAGAATAATCATTCATATTATAATGTAATAATATTTTTTATTTTATGATTATATTTTTGTAAAATTAGAATTATACATTAGAATAAATATTTAATTTAGATATACATTAAAAAGTAATTAAATTTAGATAATCAATATATAGAAGAGATAGTATTTTTATTAAAATATCTCATCCTTATAAAAGATCAAAAGTTTAGAAACTCAAATTACAAGTAGCAATAAAAATATATTTTAAAAGTAGAATTAGATTGACATTGTCAATGTATTTTAAAACTAATTTTTCCGACGTCTAATAATTAAGGATTACTTTCTCAGTTTTCTATTTAACCTATTTCTAAAGTTTATTCTTTTTCATTTTTAAGAACAATACTAATGATGATGATGATGATGGTGATAATAATAATAATGATAATAATAATAATAATAATAATAATAATAATAATAATAATAATAATAATTCTTGATGGGATCTGATTTTAATAAGTCCTGATCTGATCTGATTGGATCTGATCTGATCTGATTGGATCTGATCGGATCTGATTGGATCTAATCTGATCTGATTGGATCTGATCTGATCTGATCTGATTCGATCTGATCTGGTTTGGTTTGATCTGATCTGATTTTAATAAGAATAAGAAAAAAATAAGAAAAAATAAGTTGAACGGGATGGGGCCTTATTGAGGTAGTGATGTCCACACACATGCGAAATGTGTCCCCTTTTGGTGCCAGCACCACATTAGAGAGCCACCTAGGATACTGGACCTCTCTAATATGGCCGGCCTCCAAAAAGGTTTTTACCTCCTTCCTCACAAATTCCTTTCTGTCCGTGGACAGATACCTTTTCTTCTGCTTGACTGGGAGGGAATCCATCTTGACGATCAACTTATTACAAATGATTGAAGGATCGACTCCGGGGATATCTTTGGATTCCCATGCGAAGAGGACCGAGTTTTATCTTAATACTCGGATAATCTCTTCACGGATATCCTCCTCTAGCCCTAAGCCGATCCTTACGACCTTCTCGGGATCCCCCTCAGGGAATAGCATCACTTCTTCCATTTCCACAGCTGGCTTAGGCCTCTCCCGGTCCTCCTCTTTCCTTTCTTTATCTTCCAAGGCTTGCCCAATGGTTTGGATGTTGAGGTTCTCCTTGCCTATCCTCTTGCAGGCATTTAGATAAGCCTTCTTGGCTGCGGGCTGGTCACCAAGGGCTCGTCCAACACCTTCAGGAGTCCTAAACTTGAGGCATAGGTGTTCAAGGGATAACGCCCCTCCTAAGTCCTCTAGTCCAGGCCTCCCTAAGATGGGGTTGTGAGCACACTTGATATCAACTACCACGAAATCCATCCTCATATGCCTCACCTTTGGATGCTCGCCTATGATGACGTCCAGCTTAATGGACCCTTCCGGTTCAATTATGTCTCCAGTGAAACCAAATAAGGGCATGTTAAGCCTTGTGAGATCTTCCTTCCTGATTCCCAACTGTTGGGGCGCCTCCCAATACAACACATTGACACTGCTCCCAGTGTCCACCAATATTCTTTTGACAAAAAATTTGTGAATAGCCATAGAAATTACCAGGGGGTCCGATGAGGACTAGGAATGAGTGGAAAATCTTCGTCTGAGAAGAAAATGGGCTCCCTTCTTCCTTTCTTGGCCACTTGGCCTATGTCAATGGACCCCACATATAGCTTGCGGGTCCATTCCTTCCTCTCCTTGTTTGTGACTCCCGCCTCTGGACCGCCAAAGATGACTCCTACTTGGGGGAATTCCTCAGGGTTCTCCTGGACTTGTTGTTGAGGTTGGGCGTCCCTACACCAAACATTACCCCCTTGGTTTGGCTCTCGGTTAGCATTCGGTTCCCTTTCCTTCATTTGTCCTTCCATCTTTTTGAGGAACTAGCATTCCTCCGTGGAGTGTACAGGCCTTCTATGGAAGTTACAATATTTTTCTGGGTCGTAGGGCCACTGCCTTCTTTTTTGATCTCCATGCTTTCTTTTATGTCCACCTCCCTCCTTACTCTTAATTTCTGCCACCGGTGCGGCCAGCGGCTTAAGGGTAGGGATGGAGAGAGTGGTTGCCTTAGCTTTCTCGCCTTTCTTCTCTTTGTCTGAACCTTTGTGCAAGGCTCCCTCATTCTTTCCCTTTATGCGATCTGATTCTTCCGTGGCACAAAACTTGTTGACCCTAGCCATCATAGCCTTATAGGAAGTAGGGGTATCGTAATCTAACCTTCTAAACAATTCCCCCGATCTTAGAACACTCATGAATAGAGCGATGGAAGTCTTATCGTCCATGGGCTCTACTTCATTGATCGCCTCATTCCACCTTTGCACCAACTCAGTGTTGGTTTCTCCCTCCTTTTGCTTTAGGGAGAAAAGATGGGTGAAGTGCTTCTTTGGCTGGAACCTTCCTCCATAGGCATTGAGAAAGAGTTGAGCAAGATCTTTGAAGCAATCAATGGTCCCATTAGGAAGGGTGAGGAACCATTTTACGGCCGGTCCTTCCAAAGTCCCTACGAAAAGGCGGCATTGGATCTCGTCTTCTACCGCGTGCATCAACATGTGAGTTTGGTATGCGGCCAAGTGATCATTGGGATCAGTGAATCCTTTGTAACGGATTTCAGGGGCTTTCATACCCCTGGGTAGCTGAGCTTTCATTGCCCTGGCAGTAAAGGGAGAGATTATCTCCACTGTGGGTCCAAAAGACCCATCTTTGTCAATCTGCCTCTTTAGTTCCTCCATCTCTTTCCTCAATTTGAGGATATCTCTGGCATCTTCATTGCTGGGCCCCCTAGAATTTTCTCCAGATTCCTCAGCTCTGGGTCCCAGCCACTGGGATGTATTTTTGCGCATCCTCTTGTGCACTGATATGCGTCCTTGGCTCTCCACCTCCTCACCCTCTCCTTGGCTCGTCTCCCTCTGGTCCCTTGGGACCGGGCCTCTCCTTCCTTGTTGAGCCATCCGATTAACTTTCGGACTATGGGGGAGTTGGCGTCAATTTTTTTTGTTGCTACCTTAGAGTCTTTTGGATGAGAACTCTTAGGAGCCTTATAGTGTAAACTCTGCTCACAAGATTTGTTTTGTGTTTCATGCCTGGATTGGGAGAGAGTTATTTGATGTCTGAGATCCTGAGACGAAAGCTTTTCTCTCCCCTCCAAGTTCGTTCGTGCCTTAGCAGCGATTCTGTTCCTCCTGGATCGATTTTTGCCCATGATGACAGTTGGAAACCTTCTTTGATGAAAAAGGGGGACCAATATGGGATGGCGGTCCCTGAGCAAGAAATCGATCCTCCTGGATGACCGAATAGAATAAATTGAATAGAAAATAAAGATGGTCAAATATCCTAAACAGAAACGTGGGAAGGGGAGAGTGTGCCATATGAAGCGGGCAAGACAAATAAATTTGGCCTTGATTCCTTTGTTTAGAGGACTTAGGCCTCGTTCCGTTCAACTTATTTTTTTTATTTTTTCTTATTCTTATTAAAATCGGATCAGATCAGACCAGATCAGATCAGATCAGATTGAATCAGATCAGATCAGATCAAATTAGATCCAATCAGATCAGATCAGATCCAATCAGATCAGATCAGATCCAATCAGATCAGACCAGATCCAATCAGATCAGACCAGATCCAATCAGATCAGACTAGATCCAATCAGATCAGATCAGATCCAATCAGATCAGACCAGATTAGATCAGGACTTATTAAAATCAGATCCCATCAAGAATTATTGTTATTATTATTATTATTATTATTATTATCATTATTATTATTATTATTATTATTATCATCATCATCATCATCATCATCATTATTGTTCTTAAAAATGAAAAAGAATAAACTTTAGAAATAGGTTAAATAGAAAACTGAGAAAGTAATCCTTAATTATTAGATGTCGGAAAAATTAGTTTTAAAATACATTGACAATGTCAATCTAATTCTACTTTTAAAATATATTTTTATTGCAACTTGTTATTTGAGTTTCTAAACTTTTGATCTTTTATAAGGATGTGATATTTTAATAAAAATACTATTTCTTCTATATATTGATTATCTAAATTTAATTACTGTTTAATGTATATCTAAATTAAATATTTATTCTAATGTATAATTCTAATTTCACAAAAAAATAATCATAAAATAAAAAATATTATTACATTATAATATGAATGATTATTCTAATATATGAATTAACTATTTTTATTTTATTAAAAAATAATCATTAAATAAAAAATATTGATTATATTATAATATGAATTATCATTACAATTTTCAAACGTTATTATAAAGTCAAATTAAATTATTGATTTGAAATTTTAAATTAAATCATAATTAATCNTTATTCTAATGTATAATTCTAATTTCACAAAAAAATAATCATAAAATAAAAAATATTATTACATTATAATATGAATGATTATTCTAATATATGAATTAACTATTTTTATTTTATTAAAAAATAATCATTAAATAAAAAATATTGATTATATTATAATATGAATTATCATTACAATTTTCAAACGTTATTATAAAGTCAAATTAAATTATTGATTTGAAATTTTAAATTAAATCATAATTAATCGGATCATACCAGATCGGATCAGATGAGATTCAATCAGATCAGATCAGATCCAATCAGATCAGATCCAATCAGATCAGATCAGATCAGACCAGATCAGATCAGAACTTATTAGAATCAGATCAGATCAGAAAAAATAAGTTGAACGGAACGGAGCCTTACACCCGGGTCGTGGCAACCAACTACCCTTTATGGTTATGGACGCACTACAAAAACATACAAAAAAAAAAACATACTCCGCTTCATATGGCAAACTATCGAGTCTCGATATATTTGTTAGATGACTTACAGCTAAGTACTCCGTATGATTAAATACTACCCCTGTTCGGCTATCCCAAAAAAAATTCCATTTTAATTTTATGTTTAAGAAAATTGTTTTCTTTTAGTCTCTATAAAATAGATGACTTTGTTTTATTTCCTATAAAAAAATTGTTTAACTTATCTTTATATTTTTTTTATTTATTTTGAAAATGATTTTTCAACCCAATTAATTAAGACTTCTGATTTGTTGAGATAACACATTAATTTCGTACCTAACATCTTAGTCTTGCATTTTTAATCACCGCACACACAATTTTCATTCTCTAAATTGGGTTTTTTTTGCGAACGCACTAATTTTTGGAAATAAAATGCCTTGAATAATCCTACCTTTTCACGTTTTTCTAAAAATAATCTAATTTTTCACTGTCACATGAAATAATTTCACATTGCTCTATGTGTGCGAGTTTTGAGTCGCCGTTAAAAAACTAATGAACATTTACAAATTGCTTGTTTTCGTAAATAAATGAAAGGTGAGATTATTTTAGGTCAATAATTTTTTTTTCTTTTTTTATTTTAAATTTTAAATTTATTTTTCAAAAATATAGCAGTACACACTAGTAAAAAATTTGTATTATTGATAAAATCAAAAGTTTTGTAGTACCATTTTGAAACAAATAATATGGGTAATAGATGAGTATTGATAAACATTTTAGAGTGTTGTTATAAAAAATTTGAAATACAAAAAAATGTAGCAAGTTATAAAAATTATAATTTTATTTCAAGGAAAAAATTATTGAGTCATTTTCACAAATGTTGTAATGTTATTCTGTAAAAAAACATATAGTAACTTATCAAAAAATATTTACGAGTTTTGTACTGCCATTTTTTTAAAATAATAAAAGTATATTATCAAAAAACAATTCGAAGTGCCCCTAAAGAAAATAATTGCAACTTACAAAAAAAATAATGAAGTATGGAGTAAATAAATTAGTTCCATTTTGTAGAATTTTTATTGTGTAATTTCACAACCTTTTTAATATTATTTTGGTAGAAAAAAATATTAACAGATTCTCTCTTTAAAAAAATTAATTTCAAATGTATTTTTAAATTTTTTATAAATAATACCAAGTTTAAGTGTTTTTTATCGAGTGACACTAATTGTTTTTCAATAATAAATTTGTTTTTTGTTGTAGAATAATTTATTGTGCAATCTCACAATTTTTACAATATTGTTTTGGAAAAAGAATTATTACCAGATTATAGATTATTGAAAAAAATAATTAGGATGTCTTTAGAAAAAAGTCATAAATTTGGTACTATTTATAAAAATATTAAAAAAACATTTCACTTTAAAAATAAAAATTTAAGAATGAAAGAAGAAAATTTACCTAAAATAACCTCATCTCTCATTTATTTGCGAAAAAACAAGCATTTTATATAAGTTCTGTTAAGTAAGTGTTAGCATCTAACGGCGGCCCAAAACTTACACCCATGGGAAAATGTGAGATTATTTTTCGTGACAATGAAAAATGAGATTATTTTTTGAAGAACATGAAAATGTGAGATTATTTAAGATAATTCTTCCTTAATTTTATTACCATAAAAACATCCAAATATACATTAGCCACCAGGGCCGTCCGAAAATATGAAAAAATGAGATTGACCTTGTGCAAAATTCACGTGTTGGTCATATTTTATTTTTCCAGAGTATTTGTATTTTAAAATTAGTGGTTAGTTTGATTTTTAATAACCTCATTTATAACAAGAATAAAGTAATCAATAGAAATGAACCAGAAACTGGTAATAAATAAAATAAAAATAGATGTAGTGGTGCGTTTAACATTTTGCACACTATACAGAGCATTAATGTATCTCTTTTTCTTATTTTTTGGAAAAAAATTTATAGAATAATTCTAACTTTATCCGTTGTTTAAAAAAATAAGCAGTACTCCGTACATTAATACTCGATCTGTATAGTGCGTAAAATGTTAGAGCACTTATCTATTTTTTATAAGATAAGACTAATCTTTAAAAAAGGAAAAATAAATTAAAGTAGAAAGTCATTTTAAAAATTTAAATAAAAATTTGAAACAAAAAAGCGATTATTCATAAAAAATTATCGCAACTTTCATTTTGTTGTGCAAAACAGATCATTTCGTTAATCCACCGTTGACTGCTTAACAGCGGCCCACAACTCACAAACTTCAGTAAACTTGTGTTTGTCAAATTGTAGCATATAACAAGTCATTTTAACATGGTTGGAGATGCTTTAAGAGCATCTCCAACCATATTAAAATTACTTGCTATATGCTACAATTTGACAAACTAAGTAAAATTTCATACTTCAATGGGCCTTGCCAATGTTTGACAAGCTTGCTTAAAAATGAAAATAGCTTGCTATTAATAACAAACTTGATAAAATGTAGCAAGCCAAAAAGAAGAATAAATGTTGGTTGGGTTAGTTTTTTCATGCGCCACGACGCATTTGTTCCCTCACTTTAAGTACCACAAAGTCCACAATGCAAGAAAAAAATAAATTTTATTTTATTTTTTTACAAAAAAATAATCTTATTTTTTACCAAACTTTTTTTAAATTTATTTTATTTTAAGTTTAAATTGCATACTTGCAGAATTTTAATTAATTTTATATAAAATATAATAAAGTTTTAAAATTATAATAAATAGCGTAGTCTAATAGTGAAATCAATATATTTTTATTAAATTATAGCAAGCAAAGGTTGGAGATGACACTGTAAAATGACTTGTTATACCACTATTCATATCTTAATACATAACTTTAGCAAGCCATATTTAGCAAGCGTGATTGTAGATACTTTTATGCATCACAGTGAAAAATAAAATTATTTTTAAAAGATAGAGTAAATTAAAGTTGAGATTATTTTGAATAATTTTTTCAAAATTATTTATACTAAGTAATTGAAATTGGTTTTCTGTCCTCTTCCCAAATGTTCGGGTATGTATTTTATTCAAGCATACATTGTTGTCTTAGTTTAATTTTTATAAAAAAAATAACCATAAATTAAATACTACCTCTGTCCTTGAGTATTTTTCCAACTTTGACTTTTTTCGGTCAACTATTTTCAACCTCTGACCTATAATTAAATAAAATATATATTGTATTATAATTAAAGAAAATAATATCTTGAAAATGTTTGATTTAATAAATCTAATAAAACTCTTTTTGTATCAATATTTAATATCATTTTTATTTAAGAGTAAATTCCATAAAAGGTCCCCAGTTATAGGTCGTTTTACATATTTAGTCCCTACATATCAAATATTACTAATTTAGACCCCAATTATTATATCATTTTTCACGAATAATCCTTTGTTAACGTTTTTGTTGATAACATGGATAAAATTGTATATACATACTTCTCTCTCTCCTCAATTAAGTTTCCTCCCTCCTCTCGTACTTTTTCCCAAATTGTCGCTAAATTTGACGCTCTAAACCCAAAACTGAAATGATCATTCCTCTCTCAATTATTAGTCTTTCTGGTGGAACCTAAAATCAAAACCAATAAGCTTTATGGATGAGTTTTATCGATTAGTCTCAAAAAATTGCAATGAAAATAAACATTAAAGCTCATCCATTAAGGTTACTGGTTTCGAATTTGGGTTCCACCAGTTAGACAAACAATTGAGAGAAAAGTGATAATTTCGATTTTGGGTTCAAAGCTTCAAATTTAGCGATGGGTTTGGGAAAGGAGTGCGAAGGGAGGGAGAAAGCTTAATTGAGGAGAGAAAGGAGTGTGAATTTACAAAGCTTAATGGGGTAAGGTCTGCGTACACACACCCTCCCAGACCCTTCTCTTGTGGGATTTAACTGGGTTGTTGTTGTTGTTATCCACGTTCTTAATGGAAATGTTAACAAAGGACCATTCGTGGAAATGAATATAATAATTGGGGACTAAATTAATAATATTTGATATGTAGGGACTAAATATGTAAAACGACCTAGGGGACCTTTTATGGAATTTAATCTTTATTTAATTTGAGGTCAAAATTTACCAATTTTAAATTAAAAAAGTCAAAAGTGAATAAATACTGAGGGACGGAGGGAGAACGTTTTAAATAAATAAATACTAAAAAAATTTGATATATTAAACTTACATTTTAATATTAACTCAATGATTTAAAATTTATATTATAACTATATGAGGAAAAGATTGAAATATGACTAAAATATAGCAAAAAGAGTAAAATAAGGCCGACATATACAATACCAAAAAACATTGTGAATTATCAGTATACAATGCTATATTGTTACAGTACTATACAATAATATGATTTAAGGATAAAAAATATGTAGAAATTTCTAAAATATTCTAGAGTTTTCTAGAAAAACGTAGAAATCTTTAGAAGTGTCCAGAAGAATGTAGAGTCCTCTAAAATATTCTAGCATTGTGGGGTTCTCTACATTTTTCTAGAACATTATGGAAGCTCGTGAAGGTCTTCTAGAAGATTCTAGAGATGGGTAGAGTATTCTAGAAAAATCTAGTGCTAGCCTTGGTGATGAGTATAAATAGGCATGTGCATGTCATTTGGCAATCCAAAAGAGTGAAGAATAGTCCGTTTGGTGAGTTTTGGAGATATGATAATATATGTGTTATGAAATCTGGAGAAGTGATATGAGTTTTGAAATCTGAAACGAATTCGTTTGGAGAGATTCAAAATCATGATTTAATTAGTGATAAGCGAGGGTGACCACCAACGGGAGCAATTGGATGGCGGTAACAATGGCAATCAGTGACAGAGAATGATCAATGGTTGAGAAAAATATCAAACCCCGATATTGATATTCTCCAAATTCGGGAGATATCAAAACCTTTTATTCAAAGGATTTATGGTATCTCGAGACATTGAATTCGATATCTTTTTTTTACTTCCCCAAACACCCAAAAAGAATATTGATATCTAGAAATAACAAAACTCGTATCTTACTTGCTCACCAAACAGACTTTAAGGAGGCTTGTTAAGAGTGCTTGTGAATGAGGTGTAGAGAAGAGTTTCCAATACAAAGAGTGACATGTGTTACTCGTGTAATCAAACACATCCTCCACCCTCTTTAATTACACCCCAAGTTAATTTCTAATTTTATAGTCAATTTTGACTCCAAAATCAAAATTAACTTAGTAGGTGCAATTGAAGAGGGTGGAGGGGTGTGTTCGCTCAGGGTGAGGTGGGAAGGTAGGAACCGACGAACGAAGCACCGTAGCACCCCCGGGTCATCTCAAAACACATGATTCTAATGTCATGAGAACTCTTTCTATGATGCAAAATCGTTTGCTGAAGTCGTGCCTCTGTATCATTGAGTGTGTATATTTATAAATGTACAAGTGTTTGGTTGTGTGAATTGGAGAAAAGAGTTGAGACACAAATCTATTCTCCAACAACATGTTACTCCTATTTTTTGACATAAAGATACATTTTATTCTTATTTTAAGTGATTTTTTTAGGTAAATGTTTTTTTTTCATAATTTGTGACTAAAATGACCAAAAAAGTCCAATAGGACACTACTTTTGGGATATGGATAGTATAATACCGCGTATTTCATTGTTTATAGCTAGGAAAGTTATTGAATTGTTTAATTATTCAATTTTTACTGATAAAAAATATTTCCTTATATGTTTTTAATTATTTAATTTTTAGTGACAAAAAACTAGTGATACTAATTATTTATAGAGAAAAGACCTTCTTCGTATCATAAAATATTTCCTTCATTTTCATCCTCCCTACCTAAGTATTTCGTACTCTTTGTCTTAAAAAATATTTCTACTTTCACATTCATAAATTTAAAAACAAATTTTATGTTTAATTAAAATCTCTTTTTTACACATCTACTTAACATAGATAAATTAGACTTTAATTGACAATAAGAGCTTGTTCTTTAGAGCTTGAACTCTTAACTTTCAGTTTCTTTCAGTTCTCTCTTGTTTTTTCTAGTTCCTTCTAGTTCTTTCCTGTTTCTTTCAGTTTCTTCTAATTTTTTCCAGTTTCTTCTAGTTTTTTCTAATTTCTTCTAGTTTTTTCCAGTTCCTTCCAGTTTCTTCCAGTTTGTTATTATTATTATTATTATTATTATTATTATTATTATTATTATTATTATTATGTTCATAACTATAGTTTATAAATTATTTCATTTTTTCATCTCACTACTTTTATGACTCACACTGATTATTATTTTTTCTTCAACTTTTAATATGAATAATACCAGTTTTTGTATATTAATCTATATGATAAAATAGAAAAACATCAATATTTTAAACTATTTAAAAAATATGGATAAAATAGTTACATAAAATGTTTTTTAATCTAAATTCATATGAGGAAAATATCAATATTTTAATCTAAAATATAATAATGAAATGGGGTGGGGAGTACTACATTATGAAAACCAAGAGAGAACTACATCTTGAAAAAGAAAAAAACGATCTAGAAAGTGTAAAAAACAAATTTAGATTACAAATAATATCACCAATAATTAAAATATAACTAACAAAAAAGTTATAACTTTCATTTATTTGATCTACTTTTTATTGTCTCTAATATGTAAAATATTGCGCATATAAATATAAATAATTCAATCATTTTCAACATAATAATATTGTAAAACTATATCCCGTATTTAGTATCCTCAATTAAGCTTAACTACATTGTAGAATATTAACTGCTATTTTATCTCTAACTGCTTCATTGCATCTTTAGTTTGTTCATCAAATTAAACAACATCACCTTGGGCCTATATCCTGTTGTTCGCTGCCTCGGTATGTAGAAATAAAACACGAAAAAATGTAAAAAGAAATTCTATGTCTTTATTCCAAAAGTAGGGTTACAATGAAAAAAGTATATCAATCATTAAAGAAAAAATAGGTTTAATTACATAATGTGACATGTCTGATATTTAAAAAAAAATCTTGTAATATATAAAATATAATTACAAATATATTATTTTATGATAAATATTGCATAAATAAAGTGATGTGCAACATAGCCACAAGAACTTTTAAATATTTAACATTTTGATATTTATTCTAATTTTATATTCTAATTAATTTTTTTTGCAAAATTAGTTTTTTTGTAAGAAAAATAACAATATTTTTTATTTTAAAGGAATTCATTAAGATAACGTGATGACAACAATAACAACAACAATAATAGAAATAATAATAATAATAATAATAATAATAATAATAATAATAATAATAATAATAATAATAATAACAATAATAATAATTTATAACAATAATAATTAGAATGAGAATAATATAAAAATACACAAAAAAAAATTTTTTAAAGTTTTTTTAGATCTTCCAAATTTTTTAAAAGTTTTTTAACTTTCATTTAATTTTTTCTAGTTTCTTCCAGTTCCTTCCAGTTCATTCTATTTTTTTCCAGTATCCTTCAATTTCCTTCAGTTTTTTTCAGTTTATTTCAATATCCAACTTTTTTTTTCAATTCTAAAAAAGAGGCTCTAGATAATATCATTTCTGTTATGAAAATAATGATTGTTCATTTATTCAATTAACCAGGCCTATTTTCGAGAATAGTAGATTAAGATAACCATTGATGAGTATCAATTATGTACAGTACTTCCCACTTGTATTTGTATTCATACCAAGCCTCTCCACTATAAATAGAGGCTTAATCCCTGCATTGTAATCACAATTAAGAATAAGAGAAGAGTGAAGAGTTAATAGAGAGAAGAAATCAGAAATATATTATATCTATTATCTTAATCTCTGAGTAGTTTTTCTCTCATTTTATAACACGTTATCAGCACGAATTTGCTCAAAATCCCAGAATCCTTGTTCTTCTCAGAAGGTATATTTATTTTAATTTTCTTCATAAACAAACTAAAATATTTTTTAAAAACTATGAGAAGTATGCTCTGTGATTGCCCAAAGTAGGGATCCTTCACATCAGAAACTTATAGTTATAAAATAAAAATTAGATAATTAAAAGGAATAAGTTTCCTCATTAAAAAAAACATTTTTTTATAAACTAAAAGCAAAGAGTAGATTTAATACGGAGTAGTTAATATTGAAAAAAAAATTAAAATAAAAACCAATTTTTAAAAAAAAAAATCATTGAAATCAATGAACTTACCTTCAATTCCTTCTCTTCTTGAATTCTTCTTTAACACATCCTTGATAGAAATAGATAATCTCACTTTGTAATATTATTTCTATCCTTTATTTTAGAAATAAGATTTTTTTTTTGGTTTTTAAATGTAAGGAAAGAACAT